GAACGTTTATGCGGTTCGTTCAACTATTATTTTTTTTTTGGGGGGGGGGTAATGAAAGTGATCGAAATTAATTTCTTGACGACATAATAGTAAACAAATGGTTGGAATGGTAATACAAAACGAAACAAAAACTAGCACTCCCCTAACAGGCATCACAGTTTCAAACAAAAATTGTTTATTCCAAAAGTCGAGAAGGTAGGCAATTTTTCCGAACACGAGTGATAGCTTAGATTCACTTCGTCATTGGACACTGCAAGGAGCGGATAAACGAATCTAACTTCTGATCTATCACACGTGACTTAGGAATAAGCTTGGAATTTGTTGGTTACATAACATTCAAATTTTAATGTAAGTGCGCTACTCATTTGCATTGCATCTTATTTTTCTCGGCGATAGGCTTAGCTTGAATTACAGCTACACGTAATCTACTTTAAGTGTTAACCTGTGATAGAAAAAAAAAGTATAATATTTTGCTGTAATAATGTTTATGGAGACACGAAATTACAGTTTCTATTCTAACTTTATTTTTTATGCTATGTTTAGTAACACGTGTAATGACTATAGGACTTTTATACACTTATATTTCATAACATACTGGACACTTCTTTTATCATCATCTATTGGCGAGTGAAAAAAACAACACCAACAAAACATTTCGTAACATACTGGACACTTCTTTTATCATCATCTATTGGCAAGTGAAAAAAACAACACCAACAAAACATTTCGTAACATACTGGACACTTCTTTTATCATCATCTATTGGCGAGTGAAAAAAACAACACCAACAAAACATTTAGGAGATTTTTATCTCTGAAATATGGAGTCGATATCGATTCCAAATACTATCAAAAAGTGGGTGATAATTCATGAATACAAGTAAGAACTCAGAACATCCGGTGAAAACTACTGTATATTACTTGCTCAATCGGCAAGTGTTGGGTGAAATTTAGTTTTGAATTTTTAAGTTGCTTTGTAGGCTGAGCTCAGATTAAATTAGGTTTAGGAAAAATTTAGGTTATACGTTCGTTGACTTCTTATATTGCTTTTTGATTTGTGGTAACATTAATTCCACTTATATGGTTTTCGTCTGATGTTATAGATATATTAATAACTGTTAGTTTGTTTGGTGCGGATATTCGAGCAAAGCTAGCCGTCCCTATTTTTGAACTGATAGACTGCTGTGAAGGTAACTAATCCACAGTAACAAACTACAACTTTTGGACTACTTTAATTGAATAGTGGGATTTGGTCGTCGTTCTTATAATGAACCCCCACAGTCACAAAGTGCAGAGTGCAATCTTGCAACAACGGGGCGCAAACCATGGATCCTCAGATTCACAACTTGTGCACACTAAATATTACCTCCTGTCTTGATAGATTGAAAAATGAAGGTTTAAGCCGCGATGGGAACAAGTAAGATATGTTATTGTGAGAATAAATTAAAGGAAAATTTGACGA